TTCCATCTTCTTTTAATACTTCCTGGATCATTTAACATTCTGCCGAAAGCATCCTTGATTATAGCAACTCGAGGTTTGAATTTGTTCTTCAGTCCCTTGAGCTTAAGATATGCTGAGCGAGTTCGGTCCTTTTGATTTTCTGACTCCAGCTCCTAGCACATTTCATTGTAATATTTTGCCTTGTCATCCCGTGCTGCCTTTTGGAGTCTTCTGTTCAGCTCTTTATTATCTTGAATTCTTCTTTGTGCTTTGGCTTCTCTGTGCTCCAGTGCAATCTTCAGAGTTTCCAAGTCTATATATTAAGCTCAAATTAATGCATCTATTAAATATTTTACTCAATTCCATCCCTCCTCAATAAAGAAACTTTTATGTACATATCCTAAAATATTAAAAGACTAGGACAGAGGTGTTGTATTTTTTTTAAAATAAAGGTTCCTGGAACATCTAGAAAGAACAGTAATAGCAAAGAACAACAACAATAATAATAGAACAATAATAGCAAAGACAACTTGAACAATACTATAAACCAAGTAGGTGTAACGGACATATATACCTGACAACAGAACAAGGAGCATTCTTCTCCAGTGCACATGGATCATTTTTTAGGATGTTATTTATGCTAAGTCTCTGCATAAGCACTGCAGAGCAGCTGACCCTGCAGTGGGTTTTCAAAGGCGGTAGAGTGGACAGGAAGTGATCGCTCCTCCATCTCCAAAGGAGCAGCTGGTGGATTCTAACTGCATGCCTTTGGGACTGCAGTGCAGTTTCTTACCATTAGACACCAGAACTCCCTAGTCATACATGGTTGTGGTTGTGTGTTGTAGAATCAGAACTAACTCATAGCTAATCCTCTAGTGGGTTTTCAGAGACAATATGTTTTGCAGGAAGAGATTTCCCATTTTTCTCCCCTGGAGCAGCTGGTGGATTTGAACCACCTGCACTTGGGTTTGGTGTGCAGTTTCTTACCACCAGGGCCCTTTTGTACGTGAGTGGAGTCTCTGTAAATTAGAACTGCTGACTCAAAAGCACTTAACGACAATAATAAGTCTCGCTAAATTTAAAAGCCTAAAATCATACAAAAATTTCTCTGGCCACAGTGGAATGAAATCAGTAACAGAGAAAAACGAAAATACTTAGAAATGAATGAATGTGCAAGTACAGCATATCCAAACTTAAAGCGCATAATTAAAACAATGTTTGGAGGGAAAATTAAAGCAGTAAATGTTTACACAACAAAAATAAGGAGTTCAAGTTAACAATTTGACTTCACAAATTGAGGAACTAGAAAAAGAAAACTAAAAGTTATCAGTAAGAAAGGAATGAAAAAGACCAGAGCAGAAGTAGATAAGGGGGGAGGGGGGGAATGCAGAGAGAAGATCAATTAACTAGATCAGTAAAATCAACGAAGCTTTATTGAAAATTAAGAATAAGAAGAAAAGATGCAAAGCACTAAAATTCCAAGTGAAAATGTGGGCATCACCACCAACCATACAGGAATAAAAAGGATTATAATGATAAGGGTATAGTGTGTAGAATGCCAACACACCAGTAAACTAGAAGAAACATACACTTTCTGCAACACAAGAACTACCTAAATTCATTCTCTGAAATCTTGACAGACTCATAACAAGTAAAGAAACTGAATTAGTAATAAATAACTTCCCAACAAAGAAAAATTCTGGGCTTAATGGCTTCACTCAGGAATTTCACAAATATTTAAATAAGAATTAACATTAATATTTTTCTAAATTTTGAAAAAGTGGAAGAGGAGGGAACACTACTTAACTCATTATACAATGCCAATATTAACCCTGATATCATAGACAGAGAAACACGTGGCCAAAAACAAAAAGAGGAAATATAGACTCAACAGCCCTTATGAATATAGATACAACAGTATTAACAAAAGCACTGGCATACCAAATTCAATAGCACAGTAAAAGAATTATGCACCATGACAGAGTAGGATTTATTTAAGAAATGTAAAGGTGGTTCAGCAATAAAGAAAAATTAATGAAATAATCTCACATTCCTAGAAAAAAGGAAAAGAAGCAAACGATCTCTGCAGGCAAAAATAAGCACTTGGCAAACTGCCAGACTTTAAAACACTTATCAAATGAGGAGTAAAAAGCAAATTCCTCAATAGGATAAATGACATTTCTTTAAAACCTCAAACCTAACAAGCTATTCTATGGTGAAAAACTAAAAGTTTGCTACCCAAGATAAGAAACGAGAGGATGCCTACTTTCAGAAATAGAAGTAAAAGTCTGTCTGTACACAGATGACATGAAACTATCTACAGACAATCCTGAATGATAGACAAGAAGGATACTAGAGCCAGTATGTGAATTCAGGAAAGTTACAGAGTACAAGGTCATCACTCAAAAATAAGGTGAGTACTACACAATGGAGTCTTAAGGGGGAAAAAATTAAGAAAATAATTACACTTACAATAGCATTTGAAAGAATAAAATACTTCAGAATTATTTTAGCCAGAGAGGTAAAAAATTACTTCACAGAAAAGCTTAAAACAAAGAAAGCTCAGAATAAACAGAAATACATCCATGGGCAGAGTTTGGAAGCTTTCTGTTTTTAGGATGCCAAAACAACTCAATATACATACTAGTATATTTAATGTAACATACAAAAAAATCCCAAAAACCTTTTTCGGCAAATTTGGAACAATTTATCCTCATACACAAATAATTTCAAGGAGTACAAATAGCTAAAAAAGTTATCGTGGGACAGAACAACAAAGTACTGTTGATAAAAGGACAGACTCACAGAGTGGTGGAATAGAATTTAGTGTCTAAAAATAAACCTGTACATCTATGGTCAGCAGATTTTCAATAAGGGTGCCAGATCCACTCAATAAATTGGAAAAAAGATTCTCTTAAATAAATGGTGTAATAATAAATGATTAATGGTAGAACTCAGGTATCTTATATCTAGGAATTACCGATTGCATGATTCCAACGAAGAAAAACACAAAGCATCAGCAACCACTAAGTGGTTCTAGTTATACATGTGCAGAACACGATTATAGCAGGCAATCCAGTTCTTTCATCCATATCAGACAATTAGACAATAATGACATTATATATTTTTAGTGAAGGGGAAAATATCTCCCAAAGAATGTGAATAAATTTAATAATTCACAGGCGATTGAAAATTCCATGATGGAATATGGCAGAGAGAGATAAAGTGAAATCATTATAAGCTAACTCTGCTAACAGAAGTCTTTACTATCCTGCTAAAGGCCGCTGACTATTGGCCATCATACAGTATGGCAGGGGAAAGGTCAATTCAGATGTTTCCCCAGGAATGTGTCTTCTCTACTTAAGAGAATTTTAAAGGAGTTGCTGTTCAGTGGCATAGTCTGTTGCAAGCTGCACTGCTAATGCCAAAGCTGCAGATCTTGGAGGTTCAAATCCACCATAAGGTCCTCAAGAGAAAAGTGGGTGGTCTCCTCTCCTTCCAAGGTATAGCTTTGGAAGCCTAATGGAGTGTCTCTAAGTGGGAACGGATTCAACAGCAATGAGTGAGTCCCTCCAAAAGCTAAGAACCAGCAACCAGTTGCCCCCAAGTTCGTGCAGACTGATGGCAATCCCATTTGTGTCACAATAGAGCTGTGCTCCATAGTTTTCAATGGCTGTTTTGGGGGGAAGTAGATCCCCAAACCTTTCTTGTGAGGTGTCTCTAGGCGCACTTGAACCTTCAGCCTTTTGGTTAATAGCATAGTGTGTCAACTGCTTGCACTACTCAAGTAATATAAAGTGGTTCTCTTTAAACCACATGCTAAAATTAACATAAAATTAGAAACTTACAATAGTAAAGTATTAGGTCTTTGATTTTAAAGTAGGCATTTGATATGTTTGTTGTTGAGTGCCCTCGAGTCACTTGCAACTCATAGCAACCCTACGTACAACAGCTCTGAACCCTGTTCTATCCTGTGCCAACCTCATAATCTTTGACACATCCACCCCTTGACCCCAGTCACTGAGTCATTCCATCTATTTCAAGCATGATGTCCCTCTCCAAGGCTGGTCCCTCCTTGCAACCCATGAAAAATTGAAATTTTTATTACATCTTACATATGACTTTTTAATTTTTACATTGTAGATTTTTTTTCAAGAAACTACAACCAATGATTCTCCCAAAATTACATTTCTGAAGGTTTAAATCACAAACTGAAGTATAAATATCACCTTCAAGGCAGGCTTGTGCTTCTTTCAGCTTGGTACCTTTGGCAGTAAGTAGCAAGCGTGACAGCTGCCCAAAGCTTCTAACCTTAATTTTTGATTTAGAGAGGAATAGTAAAGGTTCTCCATGTTTGTCCACTTCTTCTGACTGGACTGTATTTTCACTAGAATGAGAGGGGGAGAGTTTAATATTACATAAAGGTCCATAAAGTAGCATGTAAGATACAGACAACTTATTCACATGTCATTATAAAACACGGAAAAATAAAAATCCCTCAGGTGAAATGCTCACCTACGTCCCTACTTTAATCCATCTTCAGACTCTTAGACTGCCAGATTTACAACCATAGTGAACAAAATATCAAGAACAAGTGTTTTAAACAGTTCCCTTGAATGACTACAGAAACTTGAATAATCAGTTTTTTACTTTCTAACAATGTATTAGTTTCTGAAATATCTAAAAGGAGGGAAAAATCACCAGTCCTACAGAACTGTTCAGGCTTAAGATTTCTAATGTTTCTTTATTTATACAAATTTTTCACCAGAGTAATTAGTTGTTAAAGAATTTTCCAGGCTTCTCGGTGTTTATGACCAAAAAAGTTATGGGGGCGTGGGGGAAGTCAAGCCAGATTCTCTCTGTGGATTATTTTTCCACCTCATAACCCTTTACTGGATTATTTTAGTATAATAAGCATATTTCTAAAAGAGCTTCTGTTGATCAGAAATTATTGAGTGTTCTGGGTGAGGGGGTTGTGGTTGTGGTGGTTGTTGATTGCTGTCAAGTCGAGCATGACTCATAAAGACTCCATGAACAAAAGACCTAATGCCTTTCTATAACTATCGTCATTTCTCCAAGTTCATAGAGTTTCCATAGGCATGTGGTTTAGGAAGCGGATGCCATTCCTGCTTCCAAACCTGTTTTACAATTGGGAGCTTGACCAAACACTGTCCATATTGGGAAACCACTATGACATTTCACACCCTAGTGGCACAAGGTTCAGCATTACAGAAAACCCAGATTACCTCAGTACAGCAAATTGGCAAAGAGTGATGTACAAAGAATGTTTCCTCCAAAATATAACAACACTAGTCTCACTTGGCTGTGGTTAAGTGTCATCAGATTGAATATAACTCATAGCAACCTTATGAACAAAAGACCTGAACTTTGTTCTATAATTAACATCAATTCTTTATGTGATTAGAGTTAATGGAGGAAATATTTCAGTTTCTAAAACTTGAGTTAATTATGAGTATAACCCAATCCTTAATTAGGTATATAAACCAATCCTCAAATTAGGCTGATTAATTACAGCAATTGTTACACTAACTTAAAAGTTTTATGTACTTCAAAAACAGTAATACAATTTGATGGGTGGAGGAGGGGTTGGGTAAAGAAAAGGGGAAATTTCTGGTGTAAAAAACAATTGTATGAATTTTGTAAGTAAGCCAGTATAAAATTTTTTGAAAAATCAAATTATTGAATGTTCTAGATTTTAGTTTCTATAATTTAATGGGTTGGGTTGGTTGGGTTTTTTTTTTAAGATAATTGTTGTTATTATTAAGTACCATCAAGTCAGAATCGACCCATAGCAGACCCTCATGCAGGTTTTCAGAGGCAGTAAAGTACCTAGAAACAGATTGCCTGCCTTTCTCTAACACAGCAGCTGGTGATTTCAAACCATGTTCCTTTAAGTTAGCAGCATAGCTTCTTACCATTAGGCTACCAGAGCTCCTTTTTTGCTCTTTATCATTAGGCCACCAGAGCTCCCTTCTTTTTTTTTTTTTTTTTTTTAGGTGGTGGTTGTTGTTAAGTGCCATCAAGTCATAGATGACTCATAGCAACAACCCTGTGAATGAAAGACCTGAACACTTGTATAACTTCGGCCGTTTCTCCAAGTTCATAGGGTGTCCGGAGGCAAGCCATTTCGGAAGTGGATGC